TTTTTTAACCATGCTAAAGAGAGGGCATGAGGCTGCTTCAAATTTTTCCTTTCTCTGTCCTCTTATCCAACCCAATTTCCTTCTCCTCTGCTCATTTAGGCACAGAAATAGGTAAAGAAATAAAACAAAATAGGTAAATAGGTAAATAAAAAAATAGTTAAATAGGTAAAGAAATAAAAAAAATAAAGAAATAGGTAAAGAAACGTCCATGCTAAGTAGATGTGGAGTCAGGAAGTGAGATTCTAAAGCCTACTTCTTGAATGCACCCACAATTTCTTACTAAAATAAAAACTTATGACTTCAAAATTTTTCTTTCCTTCTCACCTCCTGGCCTTCTTATATTGGCTTCAAATGGAGTGGGAGGGCTAATTATGATGGCTGCTAGTACCTGGCAGAGCTTGTTTTGCATTCTTAGCAAGTTGTAGAGAAAATTACCTTTTTTTTTTCTGAATGTGGAGGACATTTTATCCCCAGCCTTGAGACTTTTGGACTTAATTCCTATGGAGTAGAAAATAGCATGCTCTATAAATTGTTGTATGTTCACACATTGCCTTTGCATAATCAGTGAAACAAAGGTAAACACCTTTCTGGTATTCTTTGCTTTCAGCCAATATCCATCTTATATCAGCAATGATAATCCTCATTCTACATTCTTTTATGACACCAGTTTGAATCTCTGACAGTTCCCTGTCAACATACAGCTGCAGCCATTTTTTAAATTATCTTTAGCAAATCTTTAACTGCATATGATATTGATGAAATTGCTCAATAATTTCTACATTCTGTTGAATCACCATTCTTTGGAATGGGCACAAATATGGATCTCTTCCAGTAGCTGGCCAGGTTAGCTGTCTTACAAATTCCTTGGCATAAAAGAGTGATCCCATCCAACACTGCATCCATTTATTGAAATGTTTCAATTGGTATTCTGACAATTCCTGGATCTTTGTTTTCTGCAAGTTCTTTCAGTGCAGCTGCGACTTCTTTCTCCAATACCATTGGCTCTTGGTTATATGCTACCTTCAGTAATGATTGAATCTTGACAAATTATTTATGTTACAGTGACTCTATGTATTCCTTCTATCTTCTCTTGATACTTCTTCCACCATTCATTATTTTACCCAAAGAATCCTTCAGTATTGTAATTTGAGGTTTGAGTTTTTTTTCTTCAGTTCTTTCAGCTTAAGAAATGCCAAGCATGTTCTTCCTCTTTGGTGTTCCAACTCCAGGTCTTTGCACATGTCATTATAATACTTTAGTTTGTCTCCTCAAGTGGCCCTTTGAAATCTTCTGTTCAGCACTTTTAAGTCATCATCTCTTCCATTTGCTTTAACTATTCTTCATTCAAGACCAAGTTTCAGAATCCTTTCTGACATTTGTTTTTGTTTTTTCTTTATTTCCTGTCTTTATAATGACTGTTGGCTTTCTTCGTGTTTGATGTCCTTGATATTTTCCCACCACTCGTCTGGTCTTCAGTCACTAGTATCCGGTGCATCAAATCTAATATTGAAATGGTCTCTAAATTCAGGTGGAATACTCAAAGTCATACTTTGGTTCTTGTGGACTTATTTTACTTCAACTTCAACTTCAATTTGCATATGAGTAATTGATGGTCTGTTCCTCAGTCAGCCACTGGCCTTTTTCTGACTGATGCTGTTGAGCACCTCCATCATCCCATTCCACAGATGCAGTCAGTTTGATCCCTATGTATTCCATCTGGTGAGGTACATGGCTATAGTGTCTGTTTGTGTTGTTGTAAAAAGGTATTTTCAATGAATAAATCATTGGACTACTAAAATTTTATCATGTTATCTCCAGTGTTGTTTCCGTCACCACCTCATATTTTGTAACTACCAATCCCTCATTGTTTCCAACTTTCACATTCCAATCACCAATGATTATCAATTATTGTAAGTTCCAGTTATTTATGGATGTGTATAGGTTTTTCTTCTCTTTTTGAGTTATTTCACATCAGCATATGAAGGTCTCAAAAGTTTTATTCCATCCATATGATTTTAAAGTCAACTCTACTATAAAGAGACATCACTTCCTCAATCATATTTTGAGTGCTTTCCAACTTGAGGGGTCATCATCTAGCACTATATTGGAGAATGTTCTGGTACTATTCAAAATGTTTTAACTGGCCAACTTTTTTAGATGTGGGTCTTTATTCCTAGCTGTGTATTCTGGAAGCTCCGCTGATAACTGTCCAACATGGGTGACTCTGTTCATGTTTGCAATACTAGTGGCATAGTTCCACCATCACAGTAACACACAAGCCACCTGGAAAACTGACAGATGAATGGTGGATTGTTGTTATTGTTGTTAGGTGCTGTTGAGTGGATTCTGACTCAGAATGGGAAGACAAGCTACACAGATCCTCTGCAAAAAAGAAACAAGGAACAAATGAAACAGATACAGAAGATAATCTTGGAAACCTGAACTTTAAAGAGAAGGGTAAAGAAGTCAAATAAATACCAATTAATAGAAGACTCTTAGTGAAAAAAGTGAATAAGGAGACAAATGGAGCTGTGGGCTATCAGATATCCTGACAGTGCAGCCAATTTGCATATTTACAAATGGTGTTCCAGTCTGGGTAGCAAGGTAAGACTTGGATCTTGTAGACCTTATGGATATCTACAGAGCACTTCACCAAACAATAGCACAATATACATTCTTTTCCAGTGCACATGGATAGACCATATGTTAGGCCACAAAGGAAGCCTCAATAAATTCAGAAACATTGACATACTGGAAAGCATCTTCTCAGATAAAGATGCTATAAGATTAGAAATCAACAATAGAAAGATCAATGTAAAAAGAGCAAACACGTGGAAACTGAATAACACTTCACTTAAAAACTACTGGGTAATATAAGAAATAAAAAAGGAAATAAAAAATTTCCTTGAATCAAATGAGAATGAAAACATACATACAGAAATCTTTGGGACACAGCAAAAGCAATCATTAGCAGATAATTTATAGTAATAAGTGCACACATCAAAAAAAGAAGAAAGAGTCCAAATCAATACCTTTACACCCCATCTCCAACAATGAAATTAGAAAAAGAGCTGCAAAAAAAAAGAAAAGAAAAAAAAGCCCACAGTCACCAGAAGAAAAGAAATAATAAAGATTTGAACAGAAATAAATGAAATAGACAGTAGAAAAAAAAAACAAGGCTAGAAGTTCCTTCCTTGAAAAGATTAATAAAATTGACAAACCACTGGAAAACTTAACAAAGGAAAAGAAGGAGAAGATGGAAATAACACAGATAAGAAATTAAAGGGGCAATGTCACAACAGAACCAACTGAAATAAAAAAGGATAATACCAGGATACTATGAAGAACTGTACTCCAACAAACTTGAAAACCTAGAAGAAATGGACAGATTTCTAGAAACACAGTACTTATCTAAACTAATGCAGACAGAGGTATAAATATTGAACATATCCATAACAAAAGAAAAAATTGAGTAGGTTATATAAAATTTACCAAGTATATACATATGTATATGGCCCTAGCCCACATGATTTCACTGGACAATTCTACCAGACATTCAGAGAAGAACTGACACCAATTCTACTCAAACTGTTGCAGAACATAGAAAAGTATGGAATCTTCCCAAATTCATTTTATAAAGCAAGCATAACCCTGATACAAAAATAGGCAAGGATACCACTGAAAAAGAAAACTACAGACCAATATACCTCATGAATGTAGACACAGAAATCTTCAAGAAACTCCTAGCCAATACACTCCAACAACATATCAATAAACTTATACATTATGATCAAGCTGGAGTCATACCAGGTATGGAAGGACTGTTCAACATTAGAAAAAACAATCAACGTAATCTGTCACATAAGTAAAATAAAGGAAAAAACTACATGATCATATCAATTTTTACAGAAAAGACATTGATAAAATCCAACACCCATTCCTCAAAAAAAAAAAAAAAAAAAAAACCTCTTAGAAAAAATAGGAATAGAGGAAATATTCCTCAACATAATACAGGGCATATGTGCAAAAATAACAAGCAAAATTATTCTCAATGGAGACTGAATCAATCCTCTTGTTAATAGGAACCAGACAAAGATGCGCTCTATCACCACTACTATTCAACATTGTATTGGAAATCCCAGCCAGAGCAATAAGGCAAGAAGGAAAATCAAAGGCATCCAAAATGGAAAAGAAGAATTAAAACTATCCCTATTTGCTGATGATATGATTCTATACATAGAAAACCCAAAAGACTCAGCAAGAAAAGTACTGGGACTAATTGAAAGATTTAGCATAGTGGCAGGTAAGAGATCAACATACAAAAATTAGTTGTATTCCTCTGCACAAGCAAAGTGGTCTCTGAAAAGGAAATTAGTACCTTTTACAATAGCTAGCAAAAAGGTAAAATACTTAGGAATAAATCTCACCAGGAAACCAGAAGAGCTATACAAGGAAAACGACAAAATACTACTACAAAATGCTGTAAGGGATATACATACATGGAAGAATATACCATACTCATGGATAGGAAGACTGAACATTGTGAAAATGTCAATACTACCCAAAGAAATCTATACATTCAATGCAATCCCAATCCAGATTACATCAACATTCTTCAAGGACATGGAAAAACCAATTACCAATTTTATGTGGAAAAGAAAGAGACCTCGGATAAGCAAAGCACTACCGAGGAGAACAAAGCAGGCAGTCTCACACTCCCAGATCTCAAAACCTACTATACAATCACAGCAGTCAAAACAGCCTACCATTGGTACAACAACACACACATAGACCAGTGGGACAGAATTGAGAGCCCAGAAATAGATCTATCCACCTATGATGTGCTGATCTTTGACAAAGAGCCAAAATCTATTAAATAGGGAAGAGATAGTGTCTTTGATAAATGATGCTGGCAGAATATCTATTTGCAGAAGAATGAAACAAAATCCATATCTCACATTATATACAAAAGCTAACTCCTGATGGATCAAAAACTTAAGTGTGAAACCTAACACTATAAAGTTCATCAAAAGAAAAACAGAGGCAAATTTGGGGCCTTAATTTATGGCATAAATAGACTATTAAGCATAATCAAAAATGCACACACAACAGCAGAAAATAAACTAGATGATTGAGACCTTTGAAGGAAGATGGGGCAATCTATCCGTAGTGATACTGCCTCAGAAACCCAAGGAGGGGTCCCTTTGAGTCAGGTCCTACTTAACGGCACATAACAACAACAACAAATATTAAATTCTTATGTAAAACAAAAGACCTCTCCAAAAGAAAACATATTCAGCAATGACATATGTGACAAGGGACTTATCTCTAAAATTTATAGAAAACTCCAATACTTCAATATCAAAAAGACAATCAAATTTTTAAAAAATGGGCAGAAAACATGAGCAGACACTTCACCAAAGAAGATATTTAGGTGGCTAACAAACACATGAAGAAGTTTTCGCAATCATTATCCATTACAGACATGCAAATCAAAAGATCAATGAGATACCACCTCACCCCAGAACTAATAACAAATTTCAGTAAGACAGAAAATAACAAATGCTGAGTATGTGGAGAAATTGAAACTGTCATACACTGCTGGTGGGATTGTAAAATGAAATAACCACTATGAAAATTGGTATGGTGATTCTTTAAGGAAATGGAATTAGAAATACCATTTGATCCAGCAGTACCATTACTAGGTATATATCCTAAAGAAATGAGAGCCAGCCCACAAATAATGTATGCAAACCCACATTCATCGCAGCATTATTCACAATAGCAAAGAGATGGAAACAACGTAAGTGCCCATCAAAGGAGGAGTGGATAATCAAACTGTGGTATACACACACAATGGAACACTATGCAACACTAAAAAATAATGTGGAATCCATGAAACACTGGATAACGTGGATGAACTTGAACATTACGCTGAGTGAATTAAGTCACTCACAGAAAGATGAATACTGTATTAGTCTGCTATTGTAAAAAGTCAAGGAAAGGTTTATATATGGATAGAAACTTTGTTAGTTACCAGGCATGAGGGAAAGAGAAAACTTGCTAGATATGTAAGAGACAGGGATTGATTTGGGTGAAGGGAAAGGCAAAATACTAAAAGTGAGTCAAAAAATATATATGTTTAGTTATGTCCTAGTGCAGTGTTACTGAGGTGGAAGAAATATGGATTATAATTTGTG